GGTCTGCTGGCTGGGTGCTGGCAGGCTTGCACCTGGCACGGGCACCGTAGCCAGCCCGTGCCCCTTTAAAGGGTCCGGGGCCGGGAGGGGGGCAGACGAGTTTCCCTGGTGTTGGCCAGAGTGGCCACCAGGGAAAGCTGGGGAGGGCTAGCCTCCCACTAGTTCAAATTAAGGGGCTACACACCCCTTAATTCGAACTAGTAAGTTCGAACTAAGCTTAGTCCTCGTAAAATGAGGTTTAACTAGTTCGAACTAAGCGCTCCGCTAGTTCGAATTAAGTTCGAACTAGCGGAGCACTAGTGTAGCGCCTATCAAAGTAAATTCGAAGTAACGTCCGTTAGTTCGAATTAACTTTGTAGTGTAGACATACCCTGAGGGGTTAAACTCAGGTAGCTAGCAAGGGTGTTGGCAGGGGGCCAGAAGTACCAATGGGGATACAGTGCTGAAATTTGAATTGTATTTAGGTACCTTGCCCACTCTCTTTGTGAAATTCTAAGTTAAGGGCTGGTGGGAGCAGATGCAGTAATCAGAATTAGCATGCCTATAAGAAATATTGGACATGGGAGTGAACTAGGCCTTGAAGTACGGATCAGCACAGATCGTGAGTAGAGGGAAAAGTGTATCTAGTCACGATCAGGGTATTTTTCTTTGTTTTGGTTGTTGGTTTAAACTTCTTTCTGTGAACCCATGCCTTCCCTCCCCCGTTCACTATCTAAGAGTTGTTTCCAGAGATTTTCTCTCTGTTTCTTATGTCCTGGAAAGTAACAGGGGGTCTGTGTGTGTGTCCGCCTGCCTAAGACTGAGCAGTCAGCTACCAGAGACTGCAGTTTGTTTTTCTCTTTTCTTTTCTCAAGCTCTCTTGGGATAAAAGAGTTTGGGGGTACCCCTGGGAAAGGAATTCAAGTGTTCCCTCCTGGATTTTTTTTTCCAGAGTTAAATCACTTGATGGTGGCAGCTTTTGTTTTTTTTCTCAGAAACAGTGCATCTGTAACTCTGGGGAGTTTTTGTAAGCAGAGCCTATATAGGCAAGGTATTTAAGGTCTCTTGCAGGCCCCCACCTTCTTCACTTGGAATGCTAGAGTGGGGAACAGCCCTGACAGTGATAATAAGTATAAGGGTTATCCACACTGTACAGGTCAGGTTACCCATAAGTGACCATACGGTTTAGCTATTAGGAATTAATTTACCTCTTCTGCTCCAGTGAGAGAGTAAGCATGTCCCTTTACCAATTTCTTACTTGTGATTGCCTCCGTTTCAGCTGCACTGGTGATCTAGGGCAACAAGAATAGTGTTATATATTGCACACACACAGTTCTAAAGACCAAATTAATACAGTTGCAGATATATAAATGGTATAATAAAAATATTAAAAAATCAGCAATACAAATTATATTAAATAGAAATGGACCTGAATTCCAGAGCTCAACTTTGTATCTCCAAGACCCCAGTTCCAAACACATCTGAGAGGGTACGGGGAGAGGAAATCTGGATCCAAATCTAAACTTTCCCACCTTTAAATATTCAGATCCAGTCCATTATAGAGATAAGTTGCAGTTACAAACTTTTATGTGAACTCGGATCCAGAGTTCAGATCTATTGTTTTGGTCAGAATCCCTGGTGAATACAAAGGGTTCCATATGCCACAACTCAGATATGCAACACTGACCATTTTAATGTGTAACTTTAAAAAAAAATACATTGAAGGACAAGAGGAAGAAAAGGTTTTGAAAGATGTGAGCTTCTTTTAACCTAACATTTTCTATAACTGCTGAGACTTCCTATTACACGATGTCAATGATTTATAGAACTGATAGATGGAGTCAACCCCAGGTTGTATTTGAGAAAAAGGTGAGTATAGATCTTTAATAAATAACCTACAGTACCTCATAATAAAGCATATTTGAAAGTTAGAGCGCGAATATAAAGCATTCTCAAAGAATTTGTATCTGTCTCCTTCTTCCTACTTTGATGTCTGGGGCTGCAGGCAGATAGCATTTGAATCCTAACAGTAGTTAGAACTGATTTTAGAACTTGGATGAGCTAGACAAATCACTCATTTCTTTTACAATGTCAAAGGAATGTGATCAGAGAGGAAATATCATGGAGGAGTCTGCATTGCCATGCTGCCACTAGATAAATTAAGCTTGGGGAAAACTGCCACAATTCTGCAAGGGACTCATCTCATCACTGGTACATGGGAGGCCATGTCAGAAATCAGGGCTGAATCAGAGAGTCAATGTTAACCTAAAATGTTTCATTATATTTGTGCAGATAATAGCACTTTGTATGTCTTTAGCCCCTTTAATCCAAGGATCTCAATAGCCAGAAATTAATAAAATCACACACAATTCCTGTGAGATACGTTAGCACTACTATGCTCATTTTACAGATCAGTAAAATGAAGCGGCAATCAGCAGCAAAGTCAAGGAATAGAACCCGAAAATACTGATTCTTAGTTTCCAGCTCTAACTAGTAGGCTCTTTCCCAAGCAAGGAGACATGAGGGGTGGTTGCACTTCTAGAACCTGATCCAAGGCCTACTGGAATCAGTAGGAAGTCCCCACTGATTTCAGTGGCCATTAGAACTTAGGGTTGCCAGGTGTCCAGTTTTCTACTGGACAGTCCTGTATTTGCACCCTCTGTCCAGTAGAAAAATTCAGAAAATACTGGACATGTGCAATGTCCGGTATTTTCTGAATTTCCGGCTGGGCGCCAGACGGAAGCCTGGTGGGGGCGAGGGAGCGACTCGGAGGCGGGGCAGCGATTGGCGCTGGGAGCCCTGTGGTCGTGTGCAAAAGCTGGGCAGGGCGGGGGCAATGGCTGGGCCTCCCCCCGCCCGGCTTCTGCAAAAAACCAGAGGCTCCTAGTGCTAATTGTGGCCCTGCCTCCCAATCGTGGCCCCGCCTCCCAGCCACTCCCCCTGCCCCCGCCCAGCTTCTACTAGCAACTAGAGGTAGTGCCTGCTGGGGGCGTGGCCCGTTGGACTGCGGCTGTGGCCAGTGGCTGCACACCCCCCCGCCAGCTCTGCTTCCTGCCCCCCTTCCTCCAGCTCCCCTTCCTCCCGCCCAGCCCTCCTGGCCTCTGATGCCCCCCCAGCTCTGCTTCCCACCCCCCCTTCCT